CCGCCCTTCTTAAAATTGTTGTTATTCTTAAACCATTCAGGAAGAAGATCAGGATGAAGCTTCCAGCAAGTGTCCTTTGTATGCATCGGTTTCTTGCATCATTCACATACCTGCTCCTTCTCAGTTGGACCCTTCAGCTTTATTCCAGCATGTGCAAAGTGTTCTGTAGGTGGACTCTGTAACTGAACCTGCCGCCTACTCTCCTCACTACTCACCATAGCATATGCCTGGGCAAGAGTAACCTCATCTTTGGCCAGAATATTCTGCCTAATGATGTCAAACTCAGGGTTGAGTCCAGTAAGAAATTCAAAAACCCTATTTCTTTCCACCAACTTCCTAAACATTTCTGAATCATTCTTAGTCTCCCATGCAACCGTCTCCATAACATCAATTTCCTACCATAAGGATTTCAATATAGAATAGTAGATTGCCACACTCTTCTCCCCCTGTCTTAGGTTCTTCACATCACTTTTCAGCTTGTAGACTCTAGCCACATTCAACTTCTGTGAATAAGTTTCAGTAGCACTGTCCCAGATCTCCTTGGCAGAGGACATCTAGAGATAGTGTTGACTTATATGATGTTGCATAGAGTTGACCAATCATCGTATGACAATATAGTTCTCCTGCATCCATTTCTCAAATTCAGGGTCTGTCTCTTCGGGTTTTTTACTGCTTGTGAGGTACCCAAATTTTCCTCTACTACAGACATAAATCCTTATAGATTGTGCCCAAGCAAAATAATTTGTCCCATCTAGCTTGATTGTGGTCACACCAGTCAAAACGGAATCTACCGAGCCAAGCCTGAAAACCGGCACCTACTTGAACTTACTTCCGTATTGCTCCATTAATCAAACGAAAATAAAAAAACCAGAAATTTGGTCTTTATAAACTCACTTGAAGTCAAACCAGTACCCAGATGCTTGAAAACTAGGGTTTCACTGCGTTCGGCTATTGGGGGGAAAGAGAGAAGATGCAGCCGCTCCTACTAGAGCTTTCCAATCTCTTCCAAACCTGAACCGCCCTCTTTTAGAAGTCAAAAGACACCTCCCAAGCATAGAGCGCCACACCCAATGCTTCACTTTTATTTGTAACCTTGAAAATCTCTAATCAGCTAGGGTTTTGAGCAGAAACAGTACAACACCACTTCTTGGCAATGTCTGGCCAGATTTAAACTCTCCAAATCCTCTACCAACTAGGCAAAAGATCCTCCAAACTGTAGAGAACCTATCTCTCCATACACTCTCTTGATTGAAGGGTGTATGGGAAAAGAGAAAGAAGAAAAAAAGGAAGAAAGAAACCTGCTTTGATACCAAGATGTAAATCAGTCCTCTAAAACTGATGTAAACTTGGAAAAAATAGAGAGAAAAGAGGAAGAAAAGAAGAGAACAGCAGTACAAGAGAAAGAAGATGGAGAAAAGAGGAGGAGGAAGAAGAAGAGATCGAATATCCCTTCCCTCCCTTCTCTAATCCTTTTACTAAACTTCAATCTTAACATAATTACAAGTATGCCCTTAAGTGGGCGGCCAGCTAGGCAGTAACATAAAGAGAACTAGCAAAAAGAAATAACAGGCCCATTAAGATAGGCCCATTAGCTAACAGATAAATAAAACATACTACAAGAAAAGATACTAGGGCCCATTCGGCCTAGTCTCTTTACAATATGAATGTCTGTATATGTATGTACTTTTAAACTAGGGGCTATTGCTTGGTGTATTTGTAAAATCTCGGATTGACAAGCATCAGAATATGGGTCTTCATCTGAAAGAAGCCACTTTGTGTAACAAACGTCGAAGGTTAGGTCTGTATCCAATTTTACCCTCCCAAGACCCTAGGTATCTGGGGCCCACATTTGGTAATGGCCTTTTCTTATGTATGTGCTTTTCAATGAAGTTATTCCAGTTCTTAATCTGAAATTAGTTCTTTTGATAGCAAAGAGGTATAGGCTTAATTTTGTGTCTCCTATACTGCACATTATCTGTATGGAACCTTGTGATTTTTCCAATATAATAACAATGATCATGCCCTGTTGTGTAGTCTATTTTCCTGGAAAAAACAACTTAGTCCCACCGTGAACATGTGCAAAATCTTTAATAGTCACTCTGTTGGGTATGATAAATTCTGGGACCTGTTTGCAAAAAGGAACACAGTTTTATTTTTCTTTCAGTTCATGTTGCTGGTGTATTTTTTTTCTTTTCTCTTAACACTGTAAGCACAATGAATATAGTGGAAGAATTCAAATCATAGTAATCTCCATAGATGCATGTGACAGAAGTTTTCTGTGAGCACGAATGGCCTATTTCATGACTGAATTGTGTTTGATTTCCAAATCTATACTTGTTATTCTTTTTGTTTCAGAGTTTTAATGGATTGGGTATATTATCAATACATGACCAATCACATAAACAAAATACCAATAGATATTGCTGCAAAAAAGCTACAATTAGAAGTCGAGCTTTGAATTGTCATCTTAAGTTTGTTGTTGCATTCTCTTGTTATGTTTAATTGGATATCAATAATAGAAGGCATCTATATTACAAAATATAATTTTGCTTGCTTGATTATAGGCATTTAACCATGTGCAAATGGGAGAGTTTTGCTAGATAACTGAAAATTTGAGGAAATTGGGAAATACTAAAAATGTATGATTGTGTAATCAAGATCTAAAAAAATAACAATTCATTATATACCACAAATAATAAAATATAAAAAATCTTAAATAGCCATCAAAGGGAACATCATCTATTCATTGTCATGCAACGTGAACATCCTCTAGAACCTAATTTAACTTTTATAGCCTAACTCTTTAGCTTTGAGGCTCTCTAAGATAATCTCTATCTTAGATTGTGAGGAAATTATTACTATTTATATAATTTATTATAAAATTAATTACTCTTAAATTAGTTATCCAGTTAATTTTTTAAAAGAGCTTTATATTCTGAAATCCTAATTCAAGTTGTTATTCAAATGTGTAGAATCAATAAATCCATTTACTTTTTTTTTGTAATTTTATACAGAAGTTGTGGTTTATGCATGTTTTATGCCATGTGATTATTTCCAAGTTCATCTTCCTAAATATTTGGCACTGCCTCTTGAAGCAAAGTGTAAATAAAGAGCAATTTGGGGTTTGATGGTGGAATGGTATGAAAAGAGACTATCCTCTTTGAAGGATAAGTACCTTTCAAAGGGAGGGAGGGTGACATAAAAAGCACATTAGTTAATTTACCAGCCTACTACCTGTTTATGTTCCCTATTCATAGTAAGGTAGCTAAAAAGTTAGGAAGAATTCAAAGAGAATTGCTTGGAAAGGGTGGAGGGAGGATAGAGATTTATTGGGTTGATTGGGAGAAGACGTATTCATCAAAGGAGGAAGGGGATCTTCAGATAAAGAATTTGAAAGTGGTAAGTGCTGCATTGATGGGGAAATGACATTGGTGGTTTAGCATTGGAAGTTAACAGTTGGTGGAACGTGGAAGGAGGTTGTAGAGGCAAACTATGGAGCAAGCAATGGAAACTGGGATGCAGGAGTGGCTCATGGCACATATATATGCCCTGTTCAGAAAGGGATTTATAAATCCTTTGAGGCCTTCAGAAAGGGTACAATCTTTAAGTTAGGTAATTGAGAAAGGTACAGTTCTGAGCAGATACATGATGTGACAATAGGCCCCCAATCTGCATCTTTCCCTATATTCCTTTTCCAAGGATCAGGAAGTAAAAGTAGCTTTTTTTTTGCCAGTTAGAGACAACGACATTGTTTGGACTCCATAATTTCATTGGAACCTTCAAGACTAGGAGGTAGATGAAGTAATGGCACTCAGGTTGCAAAGTCAACAGCCAAAACAGCCAAACACAGATTCAAGAGATGCAGGGTCTGGATTTAGGAGGATGGAAACTTCTCAGATATCATTAGCCAGACACCTCATCCCAGTGGGTGACAGCCCTTTTCCGAACAAAATAATTTGGGAGTTCCAGGTTCCATCTAAAGTCTCTTTCCTTGTTTGGATAGCAACACTTGGCAAATGCTTGACCTGTGACAAGATAGTAAGTAGATGCATGAGCATTCTACAATGGGACTGTGCTTTTTGTGACTATGAGGTGGAAATGGATAGTCATCTATTCATCTATTTTCCCTTCTCTCTCACAAAATGGAAACCTCTCTTTAAGTCGCTTAATATTAGTTGGATCCTTTCTGGATCAATTCAGTAGCTGGTGGAGGTGTTGTGGATCAGGAAGGACAAATGTGTGTGGTATACATTTCCAGCTGTGGTTATTTGAGCTGTCTGGTTAGAAAGAAACAAAAGAATCTTTAAAGGAAAAGCTTCAAGGATAGAGGATGTGTTAGGAAAAGCTATGGGCAGGCTGTGATCTTGGGTCTTGGTGAATATAGTCTTCAGTAACTGTTTCACTCTTTCCTGTATGAAAATGATCTGTTTGGAGTGTAAACGGGAGATTTTAGTGCTAAGTCAAGTCCTTTGTATCTGACTATCTGTTACTAGAGTCTATTCCTTGGGTTACATCAATACAGATCCTCTCTCTATGGACAGTGTGGCCTCGTTGTAAGGCTGTATTGTTGTAGTATCAGATTTTTATCTAATACATTACCTAACAAAATTTTGACATAGTGATAACGGAATATATGTTGTTAAAGTGACTATTGTTACCACAAGCCTAGGTTTAATAAACATCCACACTTTTGGGGTGCTCTGTCATTGTCATGGGCCCTATTCTTTCATTACATCTATGCATATTCTAGCTTAGGATGGATTTAAAGAGAATTAGAACAATGATCCCTCTTTGATCTGCATGGTTTGTCATCTATTCTCTATTCTCTATTGTCATGTTATTTGTTTTATTTTCTGTAATTTGTGATTCATTATGATCCATTATATACTTCAACTTTTGTTTGTAATTTCGTTCGTTCATAGTGTTAATTTTTTGAGTCTGTATACTTGTTATTAACTTTTACCGTTGGAGAATGTAACTTTATCTACACCCTTTTATAGAAACTGGAAAGGGTACAGCTTGGGCTTCAAGCAGAGCAGAAAGTTTGTGATGCCCTCAAGGAGAAATATACTGCAGCTATAGCAGAGCAAAGGCATTGCTCTTCCCTTCTCAAAGCTTTTCAGGTGAACACCATTGTCATGGAATAACTATAACTAGTGTTTTAAAAGTGAGAACTGCAAGGGGTCCAAGAGCTTAAGGTGTAAGGCACAATGGAAGGCTGACACCTAAATAAAGTGAAGTATCACCTATGAAAAATTAAAATATAACAATATGCAAACCTAAATTCTTAAAGAAGAAAAGTCCTAATTGCTCAATTGGTTTGAGCATTGTGTTGTTAACAAAGGTTGTAGCCTTGTAGGTTCAATTCATATATGGACTAATCAGCTTCAGCATCGGAAATTATAGTTACAACCTACAAATGCAAATGACCTATTCAAACATAAAATTCAAGGTTAATTTATCAAAATATAGCAACAAGGAAGTGAAGTGAACCTAGGTTTGGGTGAGGTGAACTCCCATGAAACGAGGTTCCCTTGTGAGCCTATGCATACCTTTTAAAACAGTAGGAATAACCAAGGACTTCTCTACCAAAAACTAGAAAAACAGCAAGGACATGTTGATACTCATCTGCACCCCTAACTGATTGAAAATTTGCACTTATTGACAGTGCAAATTTTGCACACCAAAAACTGATGCAAAATTTGAACCACCTTCTTCCTCTCATATAAAATGGGAACCACATTATTTTGCTTCTCCCAAACAACCAACTTTTTACTACCCTCATTTCCTCTCCTATAAAGTGGGGACCACATCATGTCACTTCCCATTTTATTCCTCCCAAATAAACAGGACAAAGTAAAATCTGAAGCAAAAATGAACCCGAATTTGCACTCAGAAAGAATGGATGGTTGCAAATTTTTAGCTGGATTTAAAATTTTAAATCTGAATTTTCATAGGGGCCATTACATGGTACAATGGTAAAATTCCAGTCTTACAAACATGAGAGAATACGGGTTCAATTCTGAGAGCAGCCACTGCATGAAAGAAATACCTATGAGGTCACACATCCAGTCTACCCCTCCCAAGACCCAAGATGGAAAGGGGCAACATTGGATAATGGTCTTGTTACATGCTGACGCTGACGATCTTGTAATTGAATTTGATCAAACATCCCGATGACAATTTCACTGGAGTGATGGACTGGTTGTCATTGATCACGATATTTAATAAAATTGTTATATTGTCTCCACATGCTAAATTCCTATAATTGAACAGTCCCTAGCTTGCTTGCTCGGTGTTGTCATTTTGAGGATTGAAATCCATTATATGCACCAACAATCACCTCATTCTATTCCTGACTTCCTGTTGGTGCCACATGTATTAAATTCATATAATATTCATTTCTTTTAATTAGAGCTTGATGGTTTTCTCAGGAGGAATGTGCAAGGAATGAGAGACTTCGCAGCCAATCTTCCGTGTAAAACAGCTTCACAATGGAAGCACTCAAGCATGTGTTATGTTAAGAATGTAAATTAAAAAATAAAAAATGTTCAGTATTCACTCTACTTCTACTATTTTTCTTTCGTTATTTTTACTTTTCCACATTGTCAAAAGTTCCATCTCCCTTTTTTGTTAGTGGGTCGATCCATCCATTGGGTCCCTTTTATTCCGTTAGTACAATTCCTTCAGAGTTGTAACTCCGAGTCCGATTGTGAAAGTACAATAAGACAGCTATAATTGCAGGTCTATATTTAAATGAACCGACTCCTGTTTAAAAAAGAAAATTACAGTTGTTAATCAGGTGACTGAAGTGTTGAGAGTGAGTGGCATAGGTCACACTTGTGTTTCCGTATTACTTTTCTACATGCTGATGTTTTCCTGTCTCCAGACTCCAGAGTAAAACTCTATACTTGGGGTGGAGTTTCCTTGGCCATAGCGTACTTACCAGTGATGAAAAAGATGGCTACAAATACATTAAGACGGTAAAAAAACTGGTTGTTGCCATGAGAGAGAGGGCGGCAGGGAGTTCTCAGGCTGGCCTGGCAGTGTCAACGAGCACGTGGAAGCACAACAATAACATCTTCAACACACAATGCTATGCCCAACATTGAAAGGACCGACACCGGTGTCTTTACGATAAGGCCGAAAATCCCATTGAATTTCAAGAAGAGAGAGAGAGAGAGAGAGGAGAGGGCCCAAGCAGAGTCGAAAATGACAAACATGGCCCTCTCACTTTCTTCTTATAATATTGTGTGAAATTTTTGGTAGTTTTCCTGTGTCATCTTTTGAGGGATTGATCTCATGATCAGATGATCTAACCCCATTATTTTTTTCTCTTATCTTGATGATTGTCTTATTCATGGAATAGGGTATCCTCATTCATATCCGGGGCAAGAAAGTGTCGGTTTGTGTGTCCCCTACATGAATATTCAAGTAAGCATCTTTCCCTATCTTTTTTTTTTTTTTTATATACACAGACAAGGGAAATACAGAGACCGTTTGTTTTGCATTCATTGACATGATTTGATGTAACTTATCCGCTTGGGCCCTTGTCCTGGGAAGTAACCGGATTCCCCTCTTTTATTTACCCACAACCGTCCAAGCGAGGAGAGTCCCTAGAACATGGGCAACCAATAAAGCAACAACCAAGGTGATAGTGAAGATGATCCTTTATATGCAAACTGATTATTCTGCTAGCTGACTTTTACGCTGTTGTGATCATTCACGTCGACAAATCCGTTTACAGGGTTGCAGAGGCGAACTGATGATAGTGCCTTGTTGAAATGCTTTGCCTTGGTTCCGAGATACTCGGCCCATGTCACCGGGCGATACAGTGGTGGGTGGTTTGGGTCGACTAGACTTGAGATGGGTGAGATTTGAGCGTTTGTTGGTGGTCCATACAGGTACGCAACCGAGAGGCGGTGGTGGGTCCGGTTGACGATGGCACGATGTAGAACGCTGGGGTATTTGCCATTGGAAAGAATGTGGAGGAGGTCACCGACGTTAACCACAAGTGCACCCCGGAGTGGAGGTACAGTCACCCACCCTGCAGCTCCATCTCTCAGCACCTGTAGCCCGCTTGTGCTATTCTGATATAGCACCGTCAGAAGGGTTGAGTCTGTGTGCGCGGCCAGACCCATGGCCCGGCTTGGGTCTGGGCAGGCTGGATATGAGTTCAGCTGCAACGCGGCACAGACACCTCCGGACTCGCCTTTGGAAGCTGCTGCTGCCCACTTTATGTCATCCTTGCTTATACCCAGTGACCCTAGCATCAGCCACATTAGCCTCCCGGCAAGCTGTTTCATCTCTTTCTCATACTCTTCCATTACATCACTGCATCATCATCATCATCACAAGAGAAAAGAAAAGAAAAAAACATCAATCGCTGTGTCTTAATTACTTATCAGCTGGTACCGTATATATCCAAATGGGGTGGGGTATGACCGAATGAATGAATTATATGTAGTTATTAATATCTCATATTAATTATGATATAGTATAACTAGCTATATCATTGATAAAGGAAGAAAACAATAAGTAGATTTCCTCCTATGTTATCGATCTCTCCATATCTTCCTGGTGGAGCGTTGTCACCATTACTATCTCAACTAGCTAGTTGCAGAAGTGCTGGCTTGGATTTATTCTAGACTCCTTATAATTTGTTTTGTGTTGCACGTGAATGCACCTAGTTAGTAGATAGGTGTAGGTAGAGACACATCACACATCACACATGGTTAGGATGAATAATTAGTAATTACCAGAAGTTGCTGTAATCCAGTGGCCAAAGTTGGCGGGCATGTTCGACGGGGGAACCAACGATGGTAAAGCCTTCGGACCACATGAGTTTGGGGAAGAAGGAGGAGATTCGAGCGAGGCCATAGCCGGAAATGCCATCAGGCGGCCTTGCGGCCTTGAGCTTCTGGTGGGGAGGGAGAGAGAAGAGACGACGGCCCTGGGACTCGACGTCGTCCAGCAGACGCATGGGGAGGCCATGGTTGGTGACTTGGAAAACACCCCACGTCTTGCATGCATGTCCAACAAGCTTGACTGCATTAGGGTCAGTGAGATCGATCACAGGCGGCACGGACTCAACATCAAAATTGGAGTCCTCCACAGTCACAGCAGATGGGTAGTCATCGAGTTCTGGCCAGGCATGGGAGTCGGGTACCTCTCGTACTGATTCCAAGTCCAAGTGATTATGTTGGAGGTGGACAGGGTGGGCTCTGAAGGCATCAGAAAGTCTTGAAGGCGGCATATCGAACTCAAGTACACAAACCACAATTGGTGGCGATCGAGACGAAAGAGATAGGGCGAGAGCCTAGCTAGCTAGCTAGCAATGAGATGGATCTAACTTTGGGAGTCAGTTTATAACAAAAGGGTGGATGGATGCAACACGCAATGACTACTGGAGTTAGAATTAATATCGATAATAACTTGTAGTGTGGAAGCAGTGGAAGTACTAGTGGTATATAGTTAGTAGAGAAGAGTAGAGAGAAGAACGTAAGGAAGATATAAGATGGGGGGGGGGTTGTGAATTGTGAGGGTATGTGGCTATATATATATAGAGAGAGATGATAGCCAAGAAGGCGACAAGGTGGGCGAGAGTGGTTTTTTGGAGGGAGTGGGTGTCTTTTGAGTGGTGTTGGGGAGAGAGTTGATAGAAGGGGACAAGATAAGAAATGGGTTAGTGTATGTGTATGCTGGACAAGAGAACTAACAAAATAAAAAAAAGGACCATCCGGTCCTTTAGAAAACAAGATCTTTGAGAAATAAAAAGTAGGGCATCTCTCTATCTCATATATTCATTCAATTCTTCCCTTGGGCCTTGGCCATGGCCATGGCCAAGTAAGAGAGGGAGAGGGCCTCTCCATGTGCCTCTGTCTTGTCTTCAAGTAGAAAACCATCCTTGTCATCCTCTTGGATCTACTTCTCTCCTTACAAGAGGACAACAACCCACCCTTCTTCATTACTTTGTGCAAAATGACCAAATTGACCTTCTCTCTCTCTCTCTGTCACTCACTCACCCTTTTGGAGCTGCTGAAGGTGAAGGTGAAACTGCTTAACTTCAATACATCTATATAGACTACAACAGTGAGAGGAGTGGTTTTTTTCTAGGATAACCTAGCTAAAAGATGTTTATCCAAGCAGAAAGCAGAGGCAGCAAAGCTAACTCTGATTGCTAAAGCCATGGGAGAAAACAACATCTCTTAGGGCACTCTTTGTCATCTACCATAATGAAGGTTGGATGGATGTCATTACACTTTTTCCTGGATTTTTGGCCATTTCTATGAAAAGTAGTAAAGTTTGTTTTGTACTTAGCGGGTGCATTTGTGTCGACTGAGCTGACCTAAGTGGGTCTGCCTAGCTATGACCACCACAAAAGTTGATATGTCCCTTAACGTCCCTTGGTTCTTTCATTCTGTGATCAAGTAACCCCCACAATGTCCCGTGGACCTTTTTCAGTTTGCTCCTTCTCCTTGGGCAAGATGACGCCCTCCCTCTCTTTTTGTTCCTCCTCTCTCTCTCTCTAGATCTCTCTGGTCTCTCATCTCTGCATCACACTAATGGAGCCAAACCAAGTGTATTGAGATCACAATGCTTCTGATATGCATGCAGAGGCCTTTCTCTCTTATCCTCTTCCATGAGCTGCTGGCCCACTCTGTTGCATGCGACATGCCCACGCGAGGTAGTGCACATACACATTCTGTTCACGTGGCACACACAAGCAGCGGTCAGATTGTCATTTTTCCTTGGATTTGATCGGCCAATGACTTCGTTTTGGTTAGAAGTTTTCTCCATGCATGGTGCCTATCAAAAAAATTTTGATTATTTGATTTTATCCATCCATTATCCATTATCCATCTCTCTCTCTCTCTCCCTCCTCTCTTGCAACTTTTTCAAAGCTTGTCATCCTTAATCCTAGCTGGTGTTCCAGTTTTTCTACCAGAGCCCAATTATATTTAGAATACCTTAGATTGTTGATCTCTTCCTAGAGAAACTGTCACTTACAGTTCTGATAAAAGCTCTGATGCTGAATACATCACTATTTAATTTGTTAGACACCATGGTTAGTACTGAGAAGAGTTTCCCAACTAGATCTGAAGGTAGTTTGCAGAAATAAGAGAAACGCCATGGGTGATGAGAAAACAGAACAGTAATCAAAATTAAAAGCTGGAGGTAAATTTTGCTAATTAAACCCACTCCTCCTAAAACTGACGGTGTTTTTTTTTGTGGCTGAGCAGCAACTGAACAAATGACCGTGTGGGTCTGGAAATTCCATTAGTAATTCCATCTGCATGCATGCACATGTACGTACGGAAGTACTTGCATGCATGTCTATCTGTTCATGTATTTATTTATATACTCTCTCTCACTCTCTCTCTCTCTCTTCATATATATATATATGTAGGTATATATACCTCTACACTTCCATATATATACTTCCACACCTACTCTATTATTGCTCTCGACTCTAGTAGTTTTATTCCAAATTAAAGCTGGTTATCCCTGAGCAGATAATTACAAAGAGGTTTTGGTTTGTAATTGATCACTTGTATATGTTTGCCTTTATTTGGTCAAAGGTTTCCAAGAAAGAACCATATAAGCTGTTTAAGGTATTGAACACGGCAAGCAACCATGTCCCTCCATGTGATATCTCTCTCGCATTGTTTCAATTTATATGGACATCTCTACATCTTTTGCTATTGCAATTACTGGAGAGATAATTATTAATCCTATATGTAGTTCCAAGGTTCAAAGTACATAAAGATATTGCATATCGTGCAATTCAAAGGGGCCAGGCTCTTTTATTATTATTATTATTTTTTAAGTTTGAAAAGTTGAGTTAGGACACTTCTGAGAACAGTATTAACCTTCAAAAATGGCCGATGTCCTTATTCTTAGTATTTAGTATATTAGTATATTAATTATGAAAATAAGGAAATGTTCGTTCTTCTTAACTCTTAAGAGGAATCTTTTAACTTTAAGAGAAAAATGGTTATTCATTTCCTCTTATCTCTTAAAGTGCAATAATACAACTTTTTGTTTTTCAATGATACCCTTAAAAAGACAAATAAAACTCTCATAAATGGCGTCAAAATGGGTATTTGATCATTTTCAAAATTCAGAATTCAGAACAACATTTTCTGCATTCAGTGTTTAGAGAGGAAAGAAAAATTCACAAATACCAATATACCTCTTAATATAATTATTGCACATTTAGGTGTCAGACTTTAGAGCAAACCAACAGGCCCTTAAATGTTATAGAATAAAAACCTATTCAGGAATCTCATGTAACACTTGAGTTTTTAGGTTGAATAATTCTTTGAAATGGTAACAGAGTCTGCTTGACTAAGTGGTCTAGTGTTTGATCCTCGTGGCCTTCATTATAATTAATTAAGTAGCTTGGGGGGCATGTTAAAGAATAAAAATCTAGATAGTACTCTATCTACTAACTCAACTATATAGCCCAGATTCTTACTTAACAGGAAAGGAAAGGGTAATACGCTTATGAAAGAAAATTAAATGATGAAGCTTCTGTCATTCTTGTGCATTATTGGAGTTGATCAGAAATGGGCAAAGCCTGCATGATGTCTGGTAGAACTGCAAGCTTTTCATTTTCATTTAGCTTGCTTTCAGTATAAGCCAAATCAGAGTGAGACCCCCACCTACTGGTCCTACAGAAGATTCTGATCCACACCATTGGCTTTGATACATACATACATTAATTAAATCACAGTCAAATGAGTATGGCGTCCTTTTCGACGGAGCCAAAGGTTTGGATTTCAAATGAATGGTAATTATGATGGTACTAGCATTAGAACATCAGTGTGCTGCCATTGGATATCAAGACTGTGACCTGTCACAGAGACGTGTCCTCGTACTTGTGGAAGTAAGGTTTTGATCAATTTGGACCGTTCAACTCAAAGTGTCATCCATTGGGCGTGGCCCACAGCCTCTTTTGGATTTAGCCCATGGTTTAACTTTGGGCTCTTCATCATCTAATTTAGGTAAGTCATGGGCTCCTGGATGAATGCGTGGTTCTATTATCATAAGACGTCCATCTGTCAATCATATTGATCGTTTGTCTAGAGGATTATTCTATTCTTAGAGCGACTAGAGCTCTGAGTGGGTTGGGCAGACCCGATAGAATCGAGTCGAATTAACCAAGTTATATAGAGTCTGGGTCATTAGATGTCAATTACAAGTATGGCTGCCTATTAGAATCGGGTCAGACCTATATTTGGTTCAGCTCTGGTATGTTATTACATAGCCTATCTGATTCTGATTCTGGTGATTTATTTTATAGGATCAAGAACGGGATCAGACCTGACCCTTTGAGAGAAGTATTTTGTCTTGAATAGAAACACCACAAGAAAGAGTCAGCACATACAGAAGAAATAAATATTCTACTGGTGGGAAACTGAAAATGCAGTACTAATAAATTAAAGGCAGTTTCTTGGGGTTGAACTGCAGATCCCCACTATAGGGCCCTCAATATTGCCACGTCGAAGGTCAGCAGACACCGAGTGAGACCCAACAGCCCAGCCTAGGTTAACTGGATTCAATTGGACAGTAAACAAGAAGGAGGAGGAGGAGGTAATAATCCATATTTACCATTTGTTGCATGCCGTTCATTAATTAAGGCTCGGTTTGGAAAAAAAGTGCAAATTGAAATATGTGCAGTAGTATAAATACAAGGTTAAGAAATATGGTATATAAGATTTTGTACTGAATATATTTATATTTTCACTCTTCCCAAACTGAGCCTAGTATTTATTTGATGATAATGATGGTGATATGGTTGTTTTTTTCATTGAATGAAACAGCTACAAAGTGATAAAGGGGCATTTGATAACAGCACAAGTAGTAGCTGAATTGAATGACTTATTGCTTTGTCTCATAGTGGATGGATTATTGTAACTTGTGTGCTCAATAGATGAATGACATCTTGGGGTGAATACATGAAATATTAATTTATCTATGACTAATTTATCCACTAAAAACAAAAGCAGTAAGTAACTCAGTTGAACCACTTCTGCTATTACCAAACAACCTCTAAGGCAGCCCAAGAATCCACATATGACAATCTTGGGTACTAGCCAGAAGAAGTACTCCATGGTATCTGCTGCATCACCATTTGCTGCAGATTGTGTCGATTTTCAATTCAGTAGCTTCATAACATGTGGAAAAAAGCTCAAAAAGAAAAAAACAGAGGGTCGTCCTTTTTTAACATTTCTATTAAAATTTGTACAATTAACAACCAAGGATTTGTTATGAATACAGCTAATGAGGACAGGGGGATATATATGTGGCCAATCAAGCTAGCTAGTAGAGTCTCCTACCCAATGGACAATCCAGACTGGTTATGTATCTCTAACAACTCAGTATATACACTGTAGCTACAGAGTTTTAATTAGTTTGCCTAGAATTTGATCAACACTCAAAAAAAGTAAAGGAAAGTTCTATAGTCTTGATGTATTTGGTGTATTATTCAATTAGTTATCTATGCACGAGAGAGAGAGAGAGGTGGAAATAATATTTCAGTCAATACCTTCTTAATTCAATGAGAACCCTCAAAATTAATTTGCTTCTGAAATATTACAAAGCCAAGAAAATTTTCAAAACAGACTGAACAAAACTCTAGAATTTCAGTTCAACATAAATCTCCAGCGGTATTTGATGCCATTTTTGTCCCAGCCAATTGTGACATTTTACAAAATCTAAAATTCTTAAAATGAATATATTTATATCATTGAATTTCGATAAATTGGGCCTGGATCAGACAAAAGAACCTTACGCTCAGTTTGCTTTGGTGCAAAATTCATTTGCACTGGTGTAAATGCATGGGAGTGCATGTAGGCTGAGTGTAAATTTGGTTTACTTTTTGCTTCATATTTTACTGAGGTCTCTACCTTATATGAAAATGGAGTTAGGAGGGGCATTGTTTGAGAGTGAAGTAAGAAGGAAGTGAGGTGGTCCCCATTTTATAAGAGAGAGAATTGATGTAGAGGAAGGTGGTGCAAATTTTACATCTGTTTTTAGTATTAAAATTCATACTGCTAGTGAGTGCAAATCTATATTACTATAAAAAGTACGAATGAGGCTTGAGATTTTTGGAATTTTATTTGACTAAAATACCCCTCATTTTGAATTTAGACATTCTTTATTTTGGGGGTAAAAAATATAATTTCAATACCACTATTTAGTTCATTCAATTCATTCTCATTAAATCCTATATTTAAGGTATTAACTCCTATTGATTTCTAATTTTTTTAGCTAAAATACCCTTCATTTTGAATTTGGACAATTTTCATTTGGGGGGCAAAAAATGTAATTTCAATAGTACTATTCATTTTATTCAATTCCCTCACATTAAAACCCATATTTAAGGTATTAACTCCTATTCTCTATTGTTTACAAAAAAAAAAAACTATTCTCTATCATTGAATACTATATTTAAGGTTTTTGTTTTTGGTTTTTTATTTTTAAATTCTATTAATTAAGTATAAATAATGGCTTCCATAATATAAAAACCTATATTTTTAAAAACAACATTGAAATGAAACCATTTTTTCATCTAGGTGGTGGGTAAGTAGTTCAACCATTTGGGCCAAATGGATCAATCCAAAATACCATAATTAAATAATAAAAATTAAAAATAGATAAATATATAAAAAACAAAGAAAATCTGTAGAAAATTTTGGATGCATCACTATTATTATTATGTGTTGTATTAAACATAAGTATGATCTTTTTTTTGTAAACTAGAACTTTATTAAAAGAGAAAAAAAAGGAAGTTTATACAATAGAAATACCCAAATGGAGTATGCAAAAACCCGGGCCACACAATAGCAACCCAATAAATAAATATGATAAAAAATGTAAAATCAAACAAAGTTAAAACCATTTTCTATCTAGATGGTAGATTAATGGTTCAACCATTTGGGTCAAATTGGTCAACCCATGGTTTCATGATTAAAAAATAAAAATAAAGAAATACAAAAAATATGAAAAAAAATTGGGCACATGTCTAATATTATATATTTGACATATTAAAAATTACATGTGATAAATAAGAAATGTTTTTTTATTAATGATAGAACTTGAATATAAGAATTAGAAGAATTGATGTTTAATTTGTGATTCCACTAACTAGGTTAAATGGTTAAATTAGGCCACCATGATGATAACCAAGTAAATGACTAAATAGCCCTTTGCAAGTAAGTGGTTTGGTTGTAAATGGACTAGAAATCATTGTTAGGTGATGGATTACCCATTTGACCAGTTGATTTGACTATAAGATAAAACCATGTTCTAAAAGTCAAATGCAATTGCATTTCCCTCCCAATTAAACAAGTTAACTTATAATGTCATAAAATAAATAATGAAAATACAAAATATAAAACCATTTGATTAGTATTTTAATGAATACCAAAAGAATTTTAACCGATCATACCCCACTAAGAAATTTTAATGAATACCACTTGATTAGTGGCATATGAAGGAACCTAGAGTCACTCCAAAAGGAGAAAATTGAAACATGAGTCACTTGGTCATTTGCATGTAAAATCATATATAAATCTCTTTAAAAAGGTGTTCAATTTAATATTAAAGGGGTAGAAAAGCCAAGGATAAATCGAGAAGGACTTAGGTGGAAGTAATAAAAAAATATGTGTCCATAATTTGATGATGGATATAGTATTGAATGGTGAAAAGGGATTCATATAGCTGATCCCATATGATTTGGACAAAGCTCTTAAACAACGATGATAACCACCTAATTGGTTATCATTTTTATGACATCAATTATACTATGATTTGATCACTTTTCTTTGAAACATGAGCTCTAATAAGAGCATTTAAATTTTATTATCATTATCATTATCGTTGGAAATTGCCACATGCAATGCATGTACACATTTACTAGTGAGACAAAAAGTACAAATTTTGTATCATGTAGGAGTGAAAAACATATTATGTCTTGTTGGCAATCCGAGGATTTTCCATGTGGCACATAAGTGAGGATGGATCTCTGAAGAGCAAGGATAAAATGACGTGGTATCATACTTTTGCATGAATAACTACTTTAGGCTGTGTTTGGTTTGAAGGAAAAGGTAGGGAAAGGAGGGAAAAGGCATCCCATGAAATGAGAAATTGGGGTTTTCTTAAAATTTCCATGTGCTATGAATTTGCTAAGCTAGTATGACTATATTTTATTTTAATACTTATTTGTTGAAGAAACTCTGGCACGAAGAATTAGAGATATAGTCTGACCTGGCGCACCCTTGCTTTTGTAATAATGGAAGGCCTCATCCACATCATCCTCCACGGGGCTAAAAAGACAGATGTCAGATACAAAAAGAGATATAAATGGGCTATATATGTAGGGATATGCATGAATGCTTATATATATATATATATATATATATATGTATATATACATATATATACATAAACCATGTCTACCATTTGGAGAAAATAAGTTCTCCAATTCTGTTTCTCCACCTTTTTGACATATTTGATAGCTTGAGTGGCACCATATAATGGAACCTCTTATTTCTTTCAAGCTCGCTCTATCCTATAACATCATATGGCAAAAGGGTCATTTCTCTTACCTTTTTTGCTAGAGCATTTTTTTTCCTAATCTAATTACTCTAAGGGCTGCTGATTCGTGGAATCAAGTACCAACGAAACCCATTCGACACCACAGCCTGTTCCTAATACACCATTGTAGTGTTGTGTGGATATGTGTGGGGAACAGATTTGAGTTCCTTTATAATAAGAGCGAAACTATATTTACCTTGCGGCAGAAAGCTACTCTCTCTCTCTCTCGTGTAAATTTCAACCCCTACCTTTCTATTTCTCATTTCTCCGATAGATGTATGTATGTATATATGTATACATGTATATATCTATTCCTAATAAATCATCATTCTTTCTCCAATTCTTGCGCCTTGGACCTATTTACAATAAAACCTGAAATTTATTCAGGATATATATTAACATTCCAATTAGGCTTTACTCAAATCTATCCGATTAATTTGATATAATGGATTGGAGAAGAATGCAGTGCACATATACACTTGTTCATGAGCCAGATGGTTAGTTAAGTATGACTATTTGATCAATCTAATTAATTACTTTTTAAAGTTAATTTCTTTATTAATTAAACATATTTGTACAACTTAATAACTCATACATTATATATCAGAGATGATGAACTAATATTCATTGACTTAGCTTTCTTTCTTTGGGTGACCTCTCTCCTATTCAGCCAACCAAATTTCTTCTTCTTGAACAGGAGAAGGAATTAAGAGGAGGAGGAGGAGGAGGGGCAATAGGCTGAATCCATGTCGGGAGAGACCAGTCATTAGGCAAACAACAACATACCAAATAGACAAATCTTCTTCATCACCATGTCGGGAGAGAGTAGCTGGTCACTTCACTTGGGGCAAACAACAACAAACATACCTAGCTGCTCCGAGGCCCACCACTAGGTTGCCACATGGAATCCTGGGTCAGCCCCTGCTAGGTGACTCAACTAGATAAAAATCAACACTGTCCATCAGGTAGGCGACAGTCTAGATAGGCCACATGTTCAGTGGGTAATACAGATCAGTTCAGCACCCCACCATAATCAGACTCTTGTCCCTGGCTGATATGTTTCTCTCAAGAAATTTTAAATTCAAGGGATTTCCCAAAAAGAGGGTTTCCATTCTCACATGGTGGTGGGGGGAGTATCAAGCTCTAAATCGCCACATGATGAGAGGATGACGCCAACTTATTGTGGAATGTGGAGCCACATTAGCCGCCTTAGGGTTCTTTTGATGATTTGCTATATCAAAAGTACTTTTCCCTTTTCTTTTCTTTTGGATTTTTCCCCACTTTTGAGGGTGATGACCTTACCCATTTCAAAATTTTCTCTTTCTTTTCCTAGCTTATGCCCTCTTCTGCTCTGGTGACCCACTTCATCAATTAATGTGTCAAAACAAATCCAACTATACTCTCTTCTTAAGATAAACTCATAACAATAATAATTAAAGAAGAAGAAGAAGAACAACAACAATTGGAGGAATAAAACCCCATTTTCAGGCCTTAATTCTAGCTCCTAACTTCTTATTATTGTCAAGTGTCAACCAGTTGGATAGGATTTGGGTACTTGGGTTTAGTGCTCCAATTAACTGTTACCTTTGAAGTTTGAATTGGATTTGCATTTATTACGTACTAAGGAATAATAGTGGCCTGATTAATTGGGTTTTGCTTGTCTTGTTTACAATTCATTTTAAGGGTCTAATCCCTTTGTTTATCTTGATCATTGCAGGAATTATTGTCCCTTCAAGTGTCGTATGCTGAATATTAAAATAAAAACACTCAAACAACGACAAAAGTTGGTTCATTTGTTGTTTTGGACTCATTGATGTGATTTCATATTAAATTATTCCAATCCAATAAGTTTCCAACTAAGTAAAATTCCATCCATCCACTAGAATTCTAATTGAATTTGGTTGGCCCGGCCCGACCCGTTACTCATCCCTAGGAGGCTAGCTAACAGGATACCTGTCTAATGATTCATTCATACAATATTGTCTCTAATTAATTTTGATCATTGATCATTCATGTCCAAGGAACCATTCATGGGTGCAAGCTGCTGCAGGCGAACTAAAGAGAGCGCCCTGTATAGATGTTTGGCCTTGATGCCAATGTACTCTTTCCATGTCAAGGACCGATAGAGAGGCGGGTCACCGGGGCCAATCAGCTTGGACAACGGCATGATCCGGGTCTCAGTGGATGGACCATAGAAGTAGGCTATTGATAATCTCTGGTTGGTCCGGTTCACCACTGCACGGTGGAGGACGGCCGGGAACCGTGCGTTGGAGAGGATCTGGAGCAGGTCGCCAACGTTGACGATGAGTGCACCGGCCAGGGGAGGAACCGAGACCCACCCAAAGCCATCTCTGAAGATTTGCAGACCGCTTGTATTGCTTTGGTATAGTATGGTGAACATGGATGTATCAGTATGAGCAGCTAGGCCCATGGTCCGGTTGGGGTCCGGGCAAGCCGGATAAGAATTCAACTGTAGAGCAGTGGTTGCACCTTGAGTGAATTCACCGGCTGGACCAACCCACTTCGTCAGATCTTCTCTGGCCAAGCCCAACGAGCTGAGTATGAGCCTAAGCAGCCTCACGGATAGCTGCTTCATCTCCTTCTGGTATTCGTCCATGACACCACTGCATGAAATCAAAACAGTATATATGCATGTTTTAATAAATTTATGTGTGTATGTGTGAGAAAGAGAGAGAATATATATACCAAAATCTTGTGTAGTTATGGGGCCAAAGTTGATGAGCGTGTTCAGCTGGAGAACCCATAATGGTGAAGCCTTCATGCCACATGAGCTTAGAGAAGAAGGGGGTGATACGAGCACGGCCATAGCCAGTGGCTCCGTCGGGCGAGCGGAGGGCCTTGAGCTTCTGCTCGGCAGGAAGAGAGAACAGACGGAGAGACTCGGATTCAACAGCCTCTAAAAGGCTTATGGGCTGGCCGTGGTTGGTGATTTGGAACACGCCCCATGTCTCACAGGCCCTGCCCACAAGCTTCACGACGTTAGCATCGGCCAGGTCGATAACTGGTATCGGCCCACCAACACCGATCACCGAGCCCCGGCGGCCGTGTGGCTTGTCATCCAGCAGCAGAGACGACGTCCATGCATGGGAGTCGGGCAACTCCCGCACCGAACTGAAGTCCAGGGGAATAATATGTTGGAGGTGGATAGGGTGTGCTGATGATCTATAGGCTTCTGAGAGAGAAGTACTCATAGCGTGAATATAATTGAAGCAAGAGTGCAACTTACAACCATGTATTAATTGAACACATACACATACGCACATATATATATATAGAGAGAGAGAGAGAGAGAAAGATTTAAGCTAAAGGCAGTAGCTATCAGAGGAAAAAGAAGTGGGAGAAGTGGGTGACACGGTGGGTGAGGGTGGCTCTTGGAGGAAGCGATGTCTTCAAGTGGGGTGTTGGGGCAAGTGTTGTTGATACTTGGTAGAATGGGACAACAGAAGGAACAAATTTATGGAAGAAAAGCATCTTGAATCAGCTCCCGCATGAGAAGAGGGCTCTATTTCTCTCGCTTTTAGTGCACATGCCTTGTCCTCTGCTGGAATGAGACACACCCATATGATTTATATCATCACTCCATCCTCTTCTACTTCATTTCTTTTACAAAAATTTTGGGCTCATTTCCATGAAAAGTACTTTTCTGTTATTTGGTTAGGCTTCCGTCCTTGTCTTCTTTGTATATATAATATATTGGCTCTGTTAAACCCTTATTTTCCCTTTCTTAATTTACCATCCCACATCAGTAGCCTGTGGTTATTGCTTTATTTTCGTCATCCCTTACTTATTGCTATATGTTTAAGTTGATTAATTGACATGTATATTGAGCGTTTTTGGGGTAAGCCCCTGAGTCCTAGCTATTATATATAGAAGAAAACCCCTATTCTGCTAGAGCTAGTGGATCCATCCTTCTAGAATTCTTCTCTAAAGTTCCAACATGGGTCAAGAAGGCCAAAAAAAGCAGCCCATCTCTCTTGAAAAGTGCATTATCAGAGATTTCCCATGGTTAGAACTTAGAAATCCTTCATGCATGATTCAAACAACTTGAATCAATTTTGAGTTAATAAACTCATGTCATGTTCCACCTGAAACCATGCATTGACTGAGAATCAATAAGAAGTTATTTGTTACAAGTTGAAGGGACTATATGAATCCAAATTATAAAAACTGATTTAAGCATTCATAGTTTAACAATGGGTTATGGCCGACATTAAACAGAATGCAATGGCAAAACAGGATTACATGCAGCTGACCTCATCTTATATAATTGTCACAAAGCTATTGCATGATGATGATGATGATGAAACTCTTGTCCTACCTACGTCTAGGAACTGCTGTAATTGTTAGAATTAACTAAATACACGTCAAATGGAGATTATTATCATCTACAAGATCAATTCAAATCTTTTATTTTTATTTCTTAAGTGACCCATCTCTTTCTCAACAATGTGGCATTTGATCCACTGGCCTTTACTTTAATATTAGAGACTTATTTGATAGATAATCCGTTTACTCTGTATAACGAATGATCAAAAGCCTTGACGGTAAGAGACGTCACAGTGCGGTAGCTAGAGCATGAGATGGTCCAGCTCATCAGCCTATTTGGTGAGAACCTTTTGGTTTTGGCATTCACCTGCGCGACGGATAGACTATAGCTGGTACCTTATTCACCCTTTGGATTATAGTCGAAATCAGAATGATCTATTCCCATAGTCTGTTTGATTCAAATGAGAATTGCAATCAGCTGGAATAGGCTTTCATTCCCAAGAAAAGAGAAGGGAATGGCCATTCCTTCGAATGAAGAGAATGTCATTCTACCAGAAATGAGTGGGATTCTAATTCCACCCAACCAATCAGTTGGAATCAGAATGGCCCATTCCATTTCAATTCCAAACTCCCTATTTCTAAAAGTCATTCTGTGCAGAACTATGTACAATGGATTGTGGGTGAAGAGAGCTCCTGTAGAGGCAATGATACAGTTTTCTGATTGCATTTACTAGTTAGAACTGAACCATATATATGAAGGGAAGTTCTCGTCATTTCATTTACATTGGAATACTCATTAATTTTCAACAACTCTGACGATTCATATATATCGAGACCAAACCCGTGTATTGTCAGAAGAGAACATGTAATACAAAGCCCTAAACTCAAGAAGAAGATCAGAGATATATTCATCATCAGGGTCAGGGCTCTTGTGCAATATACTTTGTTTGGTAACATTGCTCCTCTTAGGCTTCATGTTAGAAGAAACATGAATGTTATCAGAAATACAGATGATACAAAGAACATAGTTGGTCCCGGTTATCTAAGGGGGTATTGGAAGGAGTGAACTGGATAGAGACCTAGGACTAACCTCTGCCAGTTTTTGCATTAAGTTGCCACTTTCAGAGTCAAACCGACATCCTTATTCTTGTCAGCTCCAGAGTTTATATATCATTACATCAACGCCCTTAATTAAGCTCGTTTCGGTCAGTTTGGGAAGAGTAGTGTCCAAATATAAATATATGTACAGTACAAATGCATACAAAATACAAAGTTTTGCATTCTTTGTATTTGTATTTATAATCCTTCGAAACTGAGCCTTTGGTTTTGTTTAATTAGTGCAAATTACCTGAGTTTAGTATGCAAACTTTGGTTTATTTTTGCTCTGATTTTTACCTTTGTTTTGTTTAAGATTAGAGCCAGAGGAGAAAAATAATAAGTATAATGATGTGGTCTCCACATTTTTAGAGGACAATTAAAGAATGATTTTCCTCCAAACCAAACATAGCCGGATGGAAGAGGAAGGCTGTTTCTTTCGAATTAGCAGTAAAATAAGGAATAAAATAATGTGATCAACCAAGTGACTCGGCTGGTAGGGTTTTTGGCTCCTTGTAGTAGCGGATACTTGGAATCAAATTCTGCTGCACCAGGGTTGGTGGGGGGCTGGTTACCCCATTGTGTAGTCCCATGAAACAAAAAATTAAAAACAAAATTATGTAATCACTTCACATGAGAAAAGATGTAGAGAAAAGGTGGTACAAATTGTTTGTTAATTTTTGGGCAAAATCTATGGTGCATTCTATGAAAATTGTTGCAATATAATTCAAACATGAATGAGTCATTAATAAGAGTCCTGATCTCCTGCCCACAAGAACTCTGCCCATGTCTATCCACGTAACATTGCAGTCACACATAGAGAACATCTCATCCTCCTACATAATATTATGCACGGGAGATGTTCCCAATGCATGGGGGGTAATACACCTTGTGAAACAATGAAAAGAAAATAAAGCCATGTAACATATTTAATGTGATTAGTTGGCATTTGATTCAATATACAATAAATACTCAAAATATGCCATAAGTAAACTGTAATTTTTGAAAATTTTGCATTGAATATGAATATGGATGAGACAAAAAGTGCAACTCATGACTACAAACAAACACATGCAAATCTGAACTAGGTGCAAATTTTGCCTTCGGTTTTGTACTTGCATTGCAACAAGTGAAGCTTTAAGAAATGAAATATTGTTTTAAGATTAAAAAGAATCAGAAATGTAAGGAGAAAATAAACAACATCAACTACTGTTTTGAAAATTCATTTCTTTCTCAAAAAGATCCTTCAAAAGCTATGTAAGCCTTTCAAATTGGCTTTAACGTAGTAAGTATGAAATTCTTAGGGGATGTTCTCCAATATGTATGATTTTATTTTGAAAACAAAACAACTGCCCCCATCAGCAAAAGCCTTTTTCTTTGTGTGTGTTCAAAAGCAAAATCATTTACATTGCCAAACACTCCTTAGTCTCTTATCATTCATTCTCAAGGAAGAATGTTGACTACTGAGATTCAATGTGAAGTACACCAAAATGATATTAAGAACATCAAATCCCATTACCCAATCAAATCAGATTAGGCCACATCACCTACTTTGGTACGTGTTTATTTGTGATTGGAGGTGTTTGAAGTCTCGTTTCTAGCAGATACGGAGTCGTCCTGGAAGAGTTAAGGCCCATTGATGAGGATAGGTTTAGGTATGGGCCGGGCCTAAGCTTTCAAGTCATGGATTTTGGTTGTAAAGCCTAGTTAAAAGCAAGTGTATCTTTGGGCTGGCCCCTACAGGCTACAGCCTTCTCTACTTCCACGCGGGAGAAATGATGTACCCAAGATATCCTTACTACTTCACCGTATCATCATCATCATAAACCAGGTGAAAAGTGAAAAAATGCTGAAACAAAAAACAAATCATAAATTACACTTAGAATCATTTGCACTTCTATACTTTTGCACCAATTTATTTATACTATCTATAAAAGAGCGAAAATCCCTTTTTTCTAAAATTTTCATTGAACGTTTTCTATCCCCTTGTCTAAGAATACAGTAGGCATAAAGATGGTATATATGTCCTTTATTCTCATTTCAGAAACTGTCCACTTGTAACCGTTCAAAAATTGCCCATGAATTATAAATAATTTTGTCTTAGAGATACTTTCACATGCAAATGCACGTACATATGTACTAGTACAAATAAAAATTGCACTGAAAACAAACCATGAAGACCTTTTCAGCCAAAGAAACTGCTCTGAATCATTCTCCCTGAATGTCAAAAACCTTAGCAATGAACAAGGATTAGCTGAACAAGTTGGTTGTTTAATGGGCTGTGGAACCAATGATAGATTGATAGTGTTCCAAGCCAGTAATAAAATTCATAGTACCCACACCTTTCACAGTGGAGCCCATGAATTTATTACTGACGCGGAATACTATTATTGGTTCCACAGCAGCTGAACAGCCATCGTGTTCAACTAATCTCAATTCATTAGCAGATCTGGGATGAGCTGCCTCATTACTATGCTTCGCCACAAAGTTGAAAGAGCACTTTAGATGAAGTGTATCTCCCCAGAAAACCCCAGATGTGGGCCTAAAATTCCCTTTACCAGGTCCAGATAATCACTACAAGACAAATGTTTGACATTGATCTTGGCTAGAGTCACCCTTTCCTTCAGGACAATAGCTTCAGCTTTTAGCAGAGGGGCCTTACAAAAAACCCCAATTTTGAAGCAAGAAACTTCCATTGACGTGATATGATAACAACTCCAAATGCTTTATGAATAGTTAAAGTTGCCTTCGACTGATATTTTGATGGCTGTAAATGGAACATGTTTGCCTAAATTGGAATTCAAATCCAATCCCATTAAGGCAAATCTGAGTTTAATTCATTTCTAATTGGATCAAATGTGAATTTACCCCGATCTGATATGATCCAATTCAATCTGATAGTATTTGAACATTTAAATTTATGATTATATCTGAACATAAAATTAACATGTATATCGCAATTTGATCAAATTTATTTGCAGCCCCATTTATGGCGTAAAATCATCTATTGAACAAATTGACCATCACATGCACTGTCCGTAACATCTGATCAATTGCAGCTCTCGTTCTTCATCATTCGTACCAAAGTTTCCTTTTCCCATTTTGCTTGTATTTACAAGTGTGCAATTTCTTTTCTTTTCTTCTTTTTTTTTTTTGTCAAGTTAAAAGTGTGCAATTTCTTTTCTTTTCTTCTTTTTTTTTTTGTTAAGTTAAAAGTGTGCACTTTTTTAACCCAGTAGGGCGAGATGGGTGAGCTATATCATATCAATCCTTAAAATGTAAAGAGCAAAATGAACCCATTCAAAACTGAATATGAAATGAGAAATGCGAATTCTGGAGAATGGATTTTTTTCCCTTTTTTTGTAATTTTGAATCCTACAACCGATTTTGTCTGGTGAAGCAAATATTTAAAAGCCCAGATGATACCAGAGACACTTTATGAAGGGGGAATAACTGCAGATAGAATGGAATGACAAAGGTCTTCCACCACTTCTATTTTCCCACCTCTCTTTTGCCTTTTGTATCAGTCTCTGCCGCTGGAGCCAGGGGCCTTGTTTCTTTCACTATAATGCCACTTTGATGAAACCCTACAACCCAAATAAGGTAGCTGGGATAAACCAATTCAAGCCTTATAAAAGGAACACATAAAAGTGGATGAATTCTAACGACATACCTGAGGATGACATCCGAGGATCGACTTGAACTGTTGAAATTCGACCACCTTGACTGAACCCTTGACCAGGATTCCCTGAAATGGACAATCTCCCATGAAATTCTTGCACAGGCTTCATGTTGTTTTTACCCATTTCAGTCTCTCCATTAGGCACAGAAGCTTTGTTTAGGGATGACTGCCCATTAGATTTAGGCAAATAAGTTGTGGACCATGACCCTCCATTTGATCCTGCTAAAGCCATAATGACATCTGCCTGTTACACAAATATGGAGCCTCAAATTAATGGTGAAAGGAACGTAGTTATCTATACTACAGATTCGTCCTAAAAGTCTCATGAAGTAACAGTTAAATCTCACACAACTATTGCCACAAAAATCACATGCTAAGAATCTGGGCCTAGAATTCATTGCTCCTTTCCAACTGATCTTATTTCCATATATTCCATCTGTACTCAATAATAACTTGCTATAACTGCCTTAGCTAAGTTACCAAATGGTATCCAACTCTCTTGGAATCCACAAGGGTGTTGGAAAAGAGCTTAGATTGTATTCTCTTAGGTAATGCACCAATCTCCCAGGCCCCAGCCCAGCAAAGAGCATCAGTTCCCCAGGAACTAGTAGAGACGAAAGAGGTGGCAGGTGGCAGCTGCATTCTTTTGACTATTCTTGAACCTCTAAGAATTGCTACCATTTCAGCTTTTGATGCATCCAAATGTACAAAAATCTCCACCAGATCTCTTTGTATACCATTTTGGTAAATGCCCTTCAATTCCTCTTTTGCTAAGATCCATGAATAGCAGCCCACAACCTCTAATTACTTCAAAAGTTGCCTTCAAATGCATAGTTCTTACTTTCTCCCCACACTTGACATTGTATGGGAGATTATTTTCTAGTAGAGCTTTCCCCAAGATCAACCAACCAGTTTCCATTGCTGAAATAATTCCCCAAGTCCATGAATTCACAGGGAACAGCAAACAACCTTACACAATTCAAAAAGACTGGTGTTCCTCTCTTCCCATACTCTCCCTATGATTGTAAGAAAAATGGCCATTATACAATTCAGGTCCGGGCTGCCAAGGGTCTTGTGTGGGGTGCAGTGGATATAGATCCAAGCTCTGGCATTTTAGCACAAAGTGGCCACTCTCAGACTTGAATCTGCATCTTCACACTTGTCATCCTGAGATCTTACCCTTGCACCAAACAATTGCCCCAACTCTCTAAATTATTGTATGGGAGACTATTTCTGGTGAAGCTTCTCCCAAGATCCTCCAAGCCAATTGGTTTCTGATGTTGAAATAATTCATCAAGCCCAACTGGTGCCACCATTCCAGCCCACAAGCCAAGTAAGAAATGGTACAGTTCCTTTGACTACCCATGAACCAACAAGTGGAATAACTAGATGATTTTCTATGAGCCTCGAAGAATTGGGAACATGTAAATGAAGAAACAAGCTAGGTGCCAATCTTGCAACCAAATGTTATGAAATTAATCGTTTTTCTAGTGAATTTCAAAGAATCTTTCTGAACTAGTCAAGGTGAAGTTATAAATCATAATAAGTGAATTAGTTATAATGTTATATTCAATGACAAGATTTTAGAAGAAAATACATTATCATTAACCAGATACCATGTATTAGCCATTAGAAGTTGTGTCATTAAGTACATTATACATTAAAGAGAAATTTGTGCATAACCACTAAATAGATTATGGCTAACCAATATGTAGCAGAATACAGCTGCATCTACTTAATTAAGTCAGCTGTGGTGCACATAAAGAACCTCTCAAAAATCTTAATTTCTTCTTATGTAGATGGGAAAAATAAAAAGTCATGATGGTAAAATTCTCATGACAGGAAGCTAAGGATTAAAAAAAAAAAAAAAAAAAACTCAAGGTTATCATTTCCATCAAGACCGCATGTTACTTAACGTGTACAAAAGTCAGAATTCAACATCATGATTTAAAATTACAGTCCTGTTCGATTAGACTGAGACACCTTATCTTTGGTTAAGGAATAACTACTGATTACTGCAATACTAAATATTAAGGTAGTCATATGTAATATTGAAATAGATGTGGAAATTTAGGCAAGGGTGACATTGGGCACTAAGTTGTATGTTTTCCATACATCCAAATTAATATAAATCCTTGTTTGACATGCACCACAAACTGAACTATCTCGACCATATAAATGTGGAAAACCATACCATTTGAAACTGATGCTGCAATTAACAATCAGAATGCTCACCTTATTTGGGTGGACATCATCAAAAACATGAGCTTGTCCTGCATAAAATATAGTCATCTGCCGACTGGTAGACGTAAGACCATGTTGACAGGACAATGCATCAAATATAAAGATGGAATCAGTTTTCCTTCAGATCCTCAGTAGAAAAGTTGAAAATGGGTAAAATAAAGGGAAACAACTAAAATAGAATTTTACCTTGGTGGATTACAAGACTCGGGGTCAGCAGCCTGAGATCCAGACTTTGGCCTGCTGCAGCTCGGAAGCATTGTGGATGAGTTTCTCTCAGTGGTTCCACTGCTGGCATTAATGGCACTCAAAATTCCAGATCCTTTTATGCCAGTTCTAGACCCTTCATCAGCAGCTGGTTGAGGAATTAGTGAATGACCGGCATTGGCCTCTCTGTATCTGTTTGAAGAGACCTTATCCACAAAAGTCACATACTGACTCATCTGCAGGGGGTATTGCATCATAGGACCCACATTCATCGTCATAGATCGATCCCACTTGGAAACAACAGAATCAGGTCTGCTGCCAATTTGCCGATTTAATATGATGGGAGAAGTAGAAGTTGGCCTTGGTGGTTGCATTCCAAAGAACAAGTCCTCATCAAAAGTTCTTCTTGGTCTCTCTCCCCCCGTTCCATTTCGGAACATCTGAATTTAAATGCAGCAATCAGCATGAGATAATATAAGTGGAATACTATTTTAGCTACATCTGGATTACACTAAGCTGGAGCATAACAACATGGGCAAAGATATTCTGCATACCTTCATGAGGTGAGAGCTTTCAAGGGAGTCTGGTCCTATTGGGGGCATCCTATCTCTGGCCGAACCCATAAAGGTGGAATCTGAATTGCTCCTCTTTCTCCCAGAGAATCTATTACTTATCTCAGTCCCAGAGAAATCACTCTTCGAAGCGTAAAAGGGAACCCCCTCGAAATGATTCCCAACCTGCCTTTCTACCATTAATGAAAAGAATAGAACCGAACTCCAATTACACAATAAATCTCTAATAAGGAAATACACCTCTTAAAAGCTCTCCAATTTTAACAAAACAACCAGTTGGTTTCAACATTTTTTAGTATCCATTAACTGAAAGTAGGAAGAGGATCCCAAAACAAACAACAGAGATAATATGAAAGCAGACTAATAAGATATTAAGAGGCTAAGCCAGCACATTCTGGATTGAAAATGTAGAAGAAATTTTCATAAGGGAAAGGGTATTGTGAACACAAAACAGTGTACATTATTTGTTCCTTTAAAACCCAACAACTGCAAATGAAGAAGAAACAACAAACACATTTGTGACCAACCATAGACTACTTAAAAGAATACAAGTAGGTAAGCAAAGCATGTCTCAAAAGAGAAAAGTGATATATGCATACCCACGTAGAGAGAGAGAGAGAGAGAGCAAAAAGCTACCGAACCCGCTAATGACTTTAATATAACCACTCCATTAACAAAAGAAAGCAACTTGTACATACAAGAGAACCAAACTATTAGAGAAAAATGAGAGAAGATGAAGAACCTATCAACTTCTACAAAGCCCAGTGCAATGAAAAGCACCGACTAAAGCAAAATAGTAAAACAAAAATGACGGCATCTAAAAAACGGGGCTTACCGGAACCCAGATCAGAAGTGGCAGAGACAGGACCATGCCCCCCTGATGAAGCTCCGACAGATACAGAGGCCGAGGCAGACGCCTCTGACGGACGGATTTCGCCACCAAAACTGACGCTCCTCACCGCTAAAGCAGCAGGAGAATCGGAAGCACAGTTCATGCCTAGAAAATCATGGAAAAGGAAAACTGGTTTTTCTTCCTTGCTGTTATTGTCGTTGTTGTTCTTGCTACAATTACTGTTATTATGAGCCATCATCAGTACAGCCATTTCATCAGGAAATCATTCTGTGGAACTCTTACCGAAGACCCCCCACTCCAAAAATAATAATTTAAATAACCATCCTCACAAAACAAATTAAAAAGAAAGGAGAAAAGGGAGCTCGAATTTTCAGAAAAGATAAAGTAGAGAGAGAGATAGATAGATGTGAAGAGAGGGAGAGGGAGAGGGAGAGGAGCATTAAAAAGCAAAAGTTGGGTTTCTTCACTCTCTGTGTTTCATTTCATGGGTTCCGTGTTCTGTTTTGTTCTGTTCTGCTCTGCCTCTGCCTCTGCCTCTGTGCTCGTGTTTTATGGCATTTTTGTGTTGTTGCAGTGAGAATACGAGGAGAGTGTTTTTCTTTAATTTTTTGAACATTAAAATATTTTCCATTACATGAAGGGACAGAGTCAGAGATGAACCAATGAGAGTTGGGCACGTGCGGGGAAGTGCAAATGTCACGTGAGAGTGTGATGGAATGAAGGGGACTCGTCGGTTGGTTGGCTTTTTAGTGAGTAAAGCAATTGAGGTAAGTGGGTGGAGATTGGGGAAGGACTTAAAGGAGGAGTGGTCCGAGTGGAGAATTTTTGGGGCATTGATTTTGATTCTCTCAGCTTCAAATGTTGACTCCTGTTCTCCGGTTCCCGCCTCAGCCGTTTTAATTCTCTAAACGGATCGGAATGGGTCAACCAGCATTTTGAACCAGATCCGTGTCTTCCTCCCCTTGCCAGCCTGGCCAAGTCTTGGGTTAGACTTAGATCCATATCATATGGGTCTGGTCGGATCAAACCGAAATTCAACATAATGATGGACAGAATTGCATCTGTTTTTCTTTTTTTTTTTTTTGGGGGGGGGGGGGGGGGGGCTCAAAAGTCAAATGTTTAGCACTTGGGCAGGCCCGGGCCGGGTTTGGGTTGCTTGAAAAAATCCAGATGGAATCAGCAAGAGTAAACTCGCAAAATTCCACTTGAGCAGTGGGATGCAAGTAATCATTCTGATGAGGGAAGAATAGAATTCATTGTCGACCACTAGAAAGCTGACCTGCTCATGGGTTGACGGTTCAACCGGACTACAGTTAAATCCAATGAAATGATCAATCAAATCAAATCAAATCTGTAAAAGAGCAAGACTAGACCAGCCTCGACAGTTGGAAATCATTGTACCAAAAGATATTTGGAATTTGGGGGGGTTATGGGATTAAGTAGATGGGTATCAGGATTAATGGTGCTTTAAGATGCTATCCAACTAGGGTTTTGAGTGGGAGGTCATTTGAAATGATCAAGAATCCATCAAGTTGATTATCTACATGATATTATAGCTTGATTTACCATGGTATGGAAAAATGATTTGTTCAATATATACTCCATCTTTGCCTAAAAGAAAGAAAAAAAAATACTCAATCTTAAGATTCCATGGGTAGCATTTTGAATGTTTATTCTTCTTTCTTTCTTTCTTTCTTTCTTTCTTTTAGTGAGAATTACTCAATGGGAGTAATCCTCTCATACCCACGGCCTCTCAGCCAAGTGAAGGCCGGCCAGAATCGATCCCATGTTTTCACTATAACTGAGCCAGAGACCTGACCAATTGAACCAATTGACACCTATGGGTTGGGGGAGGGTTTGGTTTACCAAATAGATCTCTAGCATTTCCCCTAGTGAAACTTTTAACATTTACCTTCTTCTCCTGCCACTTTAGAATCTTAACAATATTTTGCTGTCCTGTGACAATGACTTTACATGATATACAACATGGAATGAGAGAAACAAAGCGAATGACATGGGACAAGAAAATGGTGAAACTTCACATTCAAAAGGTAGGAAGATGTTACATAGATTGTAGACAAGGAAGAGTAAACGCCATGGTTCCCAAAAGTTAGGATTCCTCATGCTTATTCTGCTCAATGAAGTAAGTAGTGATCAATTATTTATCTGCTTCAATAAGAGTCCCTTTACTTTTATGTAATATGTTCCTTCATAATGATTCACGGATAAAGATTTTATGTAACCAAGGTTCAAAGTATCGATACATATAATACATATCAGTTTTGAGGTTGCTCTAGTAAAGTTTAATGAACATTAATTAATATTAAATTTATCTATGAATATACTGAATTTTTCAATAAGTAGTGTATCAATACTTTGAACCGTGAATGGAATTTATGTCTTTTTCTTCTTGGATTCCCAACAAATCAAAGATATGGTTGATGGCAATCGTCAATCATCATTTAAAAGCTCAACATATTGTTTCAAAGGAATGGGTGTCACTTCCATTCTGCTAGAAGCAATCTTAGTTTACTAAGCTGCATTTGTATAATTGTTTAAGGCTTTATTTTATTTATTTTGTCTAATTGCATAACTAGTTTTATATTATTTTTTTGTCATAGTTCTTGTTTTGTCTTATTTTGAAAAATACTTTTCCTTTCTTTTGAATTTCAAATTTCCTTACCAAAATCACAGTTTTCTCTCAATTGCCCTTGTCCCATATGGTGGCATATAATAAAGAATATTCACTAAATGTTACAATATATATAGTTCTACAGAAAATAGTTATTTCAGGTGGATTAATGAGAGTAGGGACATTCTTTATACACCAAACTCTTTTTTTTTTTTTTCATTTGTTCCTTGACACTCCTTGCCAACACAAAATAGAAAGAAATCCAGAGTTGGAGTGACTATAACATGCTCCTCCACACCTATACATGCATTCCATTTTGGAATATGCTAAACCTAAAAGTTGAAAGCTAAATTAACTTGTTTTGCCAAATTGAGCTACAGTACAAAAATGAACCCAAACTACACAAATCAGATAGTTATGGAATTGACAATTGCATACCTTTATTTTAAATAACTAATGCATATATGATGGATGTTGAGTTATTGAGACAAATGATTTAAACCCAACAATATTGTATAAAGGTTCTTGTGTGTGTGTGTGAAATTTTTATTTTATTTTTCTCAAAAATATAAATTTCGAAATAAAAGGTTTTAATTAAGGTTCTTTATATTTTTTTAATTGCTTTTGGTTTACTATATTCAGAGTACTTTTATATAGGGTTGTAAACAGACTAGATTCAACAAAATCTGAATATATCTGATCTGATTAATGAAAAAGAGAACCAGAACCCGATCAGATTTAAAGATCTAGATCGGATTGGAATCCTATTCCCATCATACTTAGAACGGATTCAGATTTAATCCAACTCTCTTCATTTTTTAAAATGAAGAAAAAATTAACTACTTTTTTAACTTCTATATAATAAAGAAATATAAATGTGAAATATTGAATTCATATTAATTGGATTTGAATTTTAATATATAGGACCGGATGGAGTTAAATCTGCATCCGATCCCCATTATTAATCGGACGTAGATTAATTTAGACTTTTGGAGTCCGTTGGCAGACCTACTTTTATACAATTTCTATTGAAGGCCTTTGTGCTATTTCATATTGTTCGGGTGGTGCCTCAGCTGTCAAAAGTTGCCACGTGTTGGCTTTCGTGGCTAATGTCTTCAGACTACGTTAGCACATATCATTGCCATCACGTCATGAAAAGTCATTTTGAGGAAGCAGAGTCCTACACAGATGATGAAGGGTGATTTGGCACGACCTAGTAAGAAGGGGATATGTAGATGCGATCTGCTCGAGGGGTGACAACTCAGTCAAACAAACCCATTTCGCAACATTCGGAGCTCGAGTATCCAGTCACCTCGGCCTAAAAAACCACCTCGGCGTAGAGACACCTCAATACCCATTCCAATTCGGGACTAAAGAATCAAAGTGTCAGTTCGGAGCTAAAGAGCAAACGCCACATAATTGACTCCAAAGGCCTCCCCAACGGACCCCGAATTTCTTGGGATCACGATGAGACTCGTCCTAGCTCCACCTGAATCGGAGGTAAACGATAAACCTTATCAACATATTGCTTTTCTTCAAAAACGGAATAAACCTTATCTACACAGCTTGGAGATCCCGGAGCTCTTTCGTGAGGCCCACGACTACTCCATTATATAAGGACATGAAACCTCAAGGCAAAGGTATGCGTGATTATTTTACTCACTAGCATTCAAGCACTCAAGTATTCAACTCGCATCCACAGTATAAGTACTGACTTAAGCATCGGAGCGACCTCGTCGGGTTAGCTACCCCGGGTTCTCTGATCTATTGTTCTGTAGATTGGTCTAGCTCGTCACACAACTGGAGATTGGATCGTCTTCCAGCTAGGAGTATTTAGATCGCGTACCATCAATAAATAAGAAGACATGCCCTATCGGGAAAGAGGGACCTCCTGAGTGTTAGACAGTGTATGCCCTTAGCTCCAATCAGATTGATGTACTTTTGACATTTATTGTAAATGAATAATAGTACATAACTAATCCATGTTATATCTGGTGTGTTTATATGTAATACCATTAAACTGGACACTTATGAGACTCATGTTAGTTTAGAATGTTCACAGCCGTTGGATAGACCTAGGGAGGTTTATCCTGCCAAGGCTGACACTAATGTGCCGCCAAGTCGGTTGGGGTGGTTTGTCTCAGCTGCTAGAGTGAGACCCGAAACACATGTAGTGTGGGTTTGCTTGAAACTCTGAACCGGACCATTTTCCAATCATGCCCTGGACCTTGGAGACAGATGGGCAAAATTGGAATGTTACACCTAACCCCTAGACTCGATTATGGTACTGCACTAGGTGTTGGATTGGGCTATTTTTGATATGCCAATCAGTGAGATCCTTAGTGGGGGTCAAAACCTGGGTATGTTGGGGCAATATGAGAAATCACCTGAGCGGGTGATCATAGTGACAAGAATCAGCCCCTTTGTCGGACAAAGTGAATGATCAGGGACAACACTCTCTCTGATGGAAACCTAAACTGCCAGCAGTTGATTTCAAACTTGTTTGAGATTTGTTCGGTCATCCATATGATGGATTTCCTTCCCTTCACCGAGAACCTCAGCAGGCGACCTCATCCTGACAACCCTGCAGACCTCATCCAACTACAGCACGGATGTTCGACTATTTAAAGGCATCTCCCCCTCGAGGTAAAGGACTTCTGCTCCCTAGCATTTTGCTCTCATACCCATCTCTTCAGTTCGGACTAGCTCGCCCTTAATAGCTCATCCAAACCGCTCTCAATCCTTCGTCACTCACTTGAGCGTCAAAGTGCCTTCTCGAGAAATAACTTCTCAAGTCTTTGATCCACCTTGGCCATGCCTAATTGACAAGAAGTTATCTGACTACGTCCTCAATCCGATACATTTTGGATCGGGCAACGTCAGATCCTAATGTGTCTAGTTTGATAACGCTCAATGATTTTTTAAGTGGTATAATGGAAAAGTTTTTGTTCTGATA